GAGCGGGATGGGTAAAGGACAAGAAACCGGTGAATGGGTTCGTTCTTCTACTCCGGGAGCTAGTTCTTCACAACCTCCACCCGAAGCTGACGAAGATCCCGAGTTTGAACAATTAATGAGGGATATTGATGAAGTTGAAGAAGAACCTGATCAGCCCGAAGAGCAGCCCGAGGAGCAAGCACAACAAACGCATCAAATGCCTCCATATTTTCAATCCTTTATGGAGACATTCGATTACCGATACGCTACCATGGACTCGCGTTTTTCCTCTATAGAGTCTCATTTATCCACAATGGGAGCTCAACAATTAGAGATTCTTCGGGAGATGCGTGCAAACAATGAATCAACCAACGCTCGTATCAATGAACTCACACACGAGATGGCCGCCATGCGAGCCCGTTTTCCTCCTACCGATCCGGATGCTTGATTTTATGTTTAGTTTTAAAACTTTGAACAAAATGAATATTGTTTCAACATTTTGATATGTTTGATTTTGTGGATTGTTGGATTTTGGATATATGAATGGTGTGAACTTATATGTTTGGTGTGTTTTATTTTTGCATCATTTACATTATCATTAGCAATATGACCAATTTTGCCATATCACATTATTTATGAATATTGATTTATGAAACTAATGGCTAACCTCTCTTTTGATTATGATCTTAGCAGCTTAAGCTTATAATTAATAAATCAATTGTCTAAATGATTTACAAACCTTGTTTTACAATGAATTTTTGATTTAACAAAAAGGGGAGAAGAATAAGTGTTAAAGTAAGGGGGAGTAATTTCTAATTTCAAAACTTGATTTCAAAAATCTTAAAATTACTAAAATGTTTTGTTATATCAAAAAGGGGGAGATTGTTGAAACATTTTAATATTTCGATATAACAAATTAAGTTAAATGGATTTTAAGATTTTCCAAAATGATTTTCTAAGTATATTCGATATAACTATTCGAATATCAAAACATTACTCCAAATATTTCAAAAATCATTTTTGATCCTTACTTAAGTGTAAAATTAAGTTTTAATCATAAAACAATTTCAAAATATTTTACAAAGTATTTCGAACCAATTCAAAGCCAAAAATTCCAGAATACTCAGAGGGAACCGATTCCCCCCCCATAGGAGGAACCGATTCCCCCTGAATGGTTTGGCTCCGAGATTTCCAGAATGCTCGGAGGGAACCGATTCCCCCCAAGGGGGTACCGATTCCCCCCTGTTCAACGGTCGAAATATTTGAATTTTACACTTAGGGAACCGATTCCCTATGATAGGGAACCGATTCCCCCCACTGTCCAAGCTGTTTTATTAAATGTTTTCACACTAAAACGGCTATAATATCTTCTCTAATTATCCCCAACGTTCAGAAGTGATTCAAGGTATATTTAAGCAAGCTTAGAAGCCATTGATCAACAACAAGAAACATCAAGCAACTAGAATCAAGAGAGAATCAAAGAGAAAGCATCAAACCTCAAGTTTGAGCATTTCAAGCCCATTTTCATTCAATATTCATTTTGCTTTCAAGAACACTTTTTGTGCTCAATTGTATTCATCTTTGAGTGTTCTTTTCTTTGTTCTAGAATTGTGCAAACATCTTACCTTGTGAGGTTTTCTTGTAAGTTTGCAAATTTGTAATCTTCTCTTTGAGAAAAGAGTGTTCTCAAGAGTTGGGGTATACTCTTGAGGGAATTGTAAGGTTATCTCTTTGGCCTCAAAAGAAAGAACAAATTAGTGAATTTGTTGGAAAATCCTTAGTGTGGATAGCTAAGGTAGTGGACGTAGACTTTGTTTGAGAAAGTCGAACCACTGTAAATCGCTGTGCAATTGCTTTCAATTTTCTGCAAAAAGCTTCCACAAAATTTTTATTGCCAATTCACCCCCCTCTTGGCCAATTTCGTCATTCGATTAACTCAACACAATCATATGATGATCAGGGCTGACGTATGATCATATGACAATCAATCTTGTCGAATGTATCAATCCAGTGCTTAAAGGGACTAGACATCTTCCGGTACTGAGTACTGTTCAGGAGACTTACTTCAAATTGGGTAAAGTATGGACAAACAAAGGTGCACAATTAGAGACAATGATCAACGATGGCAAAAAATGGACTCTAAATCTAGACAAAATAATGAACAAAAATCAAACACATGCAACATCAATTTTTGTTCGTAATTTTGCCCGACTCGATTCTGATTACATTGTCTAAGCACTTGTTCGACCACATAAGGGTGAGAATTCTGCCACCTACACCGATAATCTTAATAAAAATATGGTGTGATTGTGGTTGATTTCAAGCCTTTAGATGCCCATGCGCTCACGCTGTTGCTTTATGTATGCATGTTAATGTAGACCCATACTCATACGCTGATGATTGTTATAGCCTGCATACTATGTGCAACATATGCAGTTGCGAGTTTAAGTATCTCCCAAACGATGCTTATTGGCCACCAACAATTTCTAAAGAATGATTGCCAAATCCACAATTAAGAAGGAAATTGAAGGGTCATCGTGAATCTAGTCGGATTAATACTGATATAGATGATCCTCAACGAGAGCAATGTCTGCCAAAGCTTTGTGTCCACTACAGAGGTGAAGGGTACAATAGGAAGCACTGCCCACATCTTCCAGAATATCGATCGGGTCGATAAAACCTTTGTAATTCTATTATCATATTATCTGATGTACCTATTTTGGATAATTTATGAATATCAATAATCATCTTTATTTTTAACTTTTCATATATAATTGCAAACTATTCATAAATACCATTTAACTAAACACAAATTCATACATATATTTAGAACATTTTTTCAACAAAATAAACAAATTTTCCTCTTCTTCTTCCTCTCAATTTTACACTATTTTTTTTTCATTTCTCTCTATAAGTCGTTTACTGCGTCGGATTGGTAAGTCTTCATTCTCTTCTTATTTTCTTTTTCTTTTTCTCATTCTTTTTAATCTCCTTATGTTGATCAAGTATCGAGTTTATTGATTTTTTACCCACTCCTCATTTGCATATGATCTTGATTCTGAATCTTCAATGTCAGAGTAATCATAACCAAAATTATCGTTCACGTTTTTTTTAAATATTCTTCCCACGAATGCATGATTTGATTCACATATATAACTCTATCAACTCACCCACTCCTATTTATAGTGAAAATTTATCAAAATGATCGTTGGAGCTTGTCACGCCCACATGACTAGTTTCAACGGCTATAAACGACCAGTTTTCAAACGTTTATAAACGACTATATATTCAAAACCAAAGGAACTCGTCATGTCGAGGTGACGAATTCCAAAAAAATAATTAAATATTTAAACTGACCATTCGGTCGAATATAATAATAATATCTGGTGAAACTCATCCCTTACTGTAAAAAACGTCATATATCCCAAAATAAAAGCATCTGTGTCCTATTTTCCCTAGTAGGGCAAAAAAAAAACCCTTCAAATCTTAATGCGGTTCAGCCCATGATTGTTTTTAGATGCCTTTGCACGTATGGCCATATTAACTTTAACAGTAGTAAAATAAAACCAATTTATTGTGATGATTTTAATTATTATCATAAAATCTTAATTATGTATTTAATATATGAGTTTCTCATTTCCCCGCTTGAATGGATCAAATGGTATTTGTTCAAGTGGGAGACTCACCCACCAAAATATATGAGTCTCCCTTTCTTTTATTTTAATTAAGTGAAATATTTTCAAAATATAAACAAATTATTTAATTGCTTAATAGATCATTAAAGTGTAAAAATTCAATTGCTTAACGGACATGGACTCATGGAGTAAAAGAAATGAGGGTTGGCTCTGACCAATTTAAAATATCAGAATTTGGGGTTCATTTGTTTCGAACCAGGGATGGCCACAAAAATATATATTTTGGTGCGAATTTAAGAATTTATATTAAGAATTTTAAGGGGTATAGTGTTATAAAATTTTTGAGGTGCGAAATTAGATAATTAATAATTTAAGGGGTGAGACCGCACCACCAACCAGTTATGTCCATCCCTGTTTCGACCTTTTAGTTTGAAATCTCTTTTTCTCTTTTCCATTTTATTATTTCTTTATATTTGAAATTATATGTTATTTTATTTACTAAGTCTTGTTTTTTTAAATGAAAATACACATATAATTAAAAAATCATAAATACTAATATTTTAAAATATATCATTTTAGAATCTTAATATTTTTCTATAAAAAATATTAAGATTCTATTTTTTTTTTAGAAAAAATAACTTTTTATTCAAATAAACTCTGAATTTATGTGTATTGGGTTTGCTTTGAAATGATAGTACGTATTTATCTAAAAAAAACTCTGAATTTATCGCATTTAAATTTAACACATTAAGAAAAAAAATAGACGAGACACAAATCAATGGATTTTAATATTTTCATAGATATAAAATTAAATACTATCTTCTCGAATGAATGAACATTCACGAGCCGGGTGTTGACGTAAGTGGTTGAAATTCAAGAATTTGAACTCGATGGGTAATCTATAAATTCCTACGTAAATCTCAATTGAATTTTAGGTTTACTCTGAACCTAAACTAGAGTCTCACCCTTAACCTAAACTTTATTATAAAAAAATGATCATGCAGTATTTTACAAAAATATTATTTTCATAAAAGTGAAACGTAATGTTTGGCACCAGTGCTATCAATATACTAAAAAAATATACAAGAATAATAAATATTAAATACTTTATGGAAATATTTTCAATAAATGGAAATGAAATCTGTTATTACTTAATTAGAAATTATTATTTGGCACCAGTGCTATCAATATATGGGGGGAAATCCGAATATTATATATCATCTCATAATGTACTCTTATCTATATTTCCAATTAAAAAATTGCCAATATAAATATCATGTATTATACTATACTTCTCACCGTCATTCATACTTTTACTTTAAATATAAAATGGGTGATAAAATTAAGTCAATTTTATTTTTTATGATTTCGTCTATGTTTGTCATAATGTCTAAAGCACGAAGGTGTGATCATCTAAATGGGTTCAACAGCTTGAAAAGCAATGTGGGAATGAAGTTATCAACTGTCCGAAGATCTAATCTTCTTTATGATCCTTCTGATGTTAAAAATATCGTTGTGAAGAGACAAGTACCGAGTGTATTAGATCTTCTTCACAATAAACCTCTCAGTCCTCCTACATCTAATGAGTTCGCCGTGAAGAGACCAACACCTGGAGGACCAGATCCTCTTCACAATGATCCTCGCAACCCTCTTCCCTCTAATGAGTTCGTGGTGAAGAGACTAACCCCTGGAGGTCCATATCCTCTTACCAATAAACCTCTCAGTCCTCCTGCCTCTAATGAGTTCGTCGTGAAAAAACTAACACCTGGAGGTCCATATCCTCTTCACAATGATCCTCGCAGCCCTCCTGCCTCTAATGAGTTCGTCGTGAAGAGGTTAACACCTGGAGGACCATATCCTCTGCACAACGACCCTCGCAACCCTCCTGCCTCTAATGAGTTCGTCGTGAAAAGACTAACACCTGGAGGTCCAGATCCTCTTCACAACGACCCTCGCAGCCCTCCTGCCTCTAATGAGTTCGTCGTGAAAAGACTAACACCTGGAGGACCAGATCCTCTTCACAACGACCCTCGCAGCCCTCCTGCCTCTAATGAGTTCGTCGTGAAAAGACTAACACCTGGAGGACCAGATCCTCTTCACAACGACCCTCGCAGTCCTCCTGCCTCTAATGAGTTCGACATGAAGAGACTAACACCTGGAGGTCCAGATCCTCTTCACAAAGACCCTCGCAACCCTCCTGCCTCTAATGAGTTCGTCGTGAAAAGACTAACACCTGGAGGACCAGATCCTCTTCACAACGACCCTCGCAGCCCTCCTGCCTCTAATGATTTCGTCGTGAAAAGACTAACACCTGGAGGACCAGATCCTCTTCACAACGACCCTCGCAGTCCTCCTATCTCTAATGAGTTCGTCGTGAAAATACTACCTCTTGGAGGACAAAATTCTATTCACAATAAACCTTTCAATCCTCCAAATTTTAACGAGTTGATTACGAAGAAATAAACACCAGAAGGATCAAATCATCTTTTCAATGTTCCTGTTTCGCTTAGCGTTCATAATGTCATTAGTAGTCTATCATTAATGTACTAGTTCATAAATCCTTCTAAAGAATAAAGTATTTTTATACATTTTTATAGAAAGAGCAAATTACTAAAAAGTCATTCTTTTAAAGAAGCGGAAAAGGAGTGCTTTCGAATAATTCTGTCAATAAGGATTGATCATTACAAATTTAATGTTTAATACAATTAGATGGTTCATTGAATTTACCTTTTCATTATCAAACATTTTTAATTTGATAAACATGATACTCGCATAGGATAATTTTATTGAATAATAATTTTAAAAGAGTTAGAAATAATTTTCGAAACGTTTAAAAACATTATTCGTACTTATGGTAAAAAAAACTTTAGGTATCAAATAGAGATAAAATAGTTGGGAGCTGGTATGACATGTTCTAATTGGTCAAATTATTAATGTTTAAATTTTTAAATAAAATATGGGTAAATTACTCATTTAGTATATGAAATGTCAGTTTTTTTATCCGTTTTAGTGCTTAAATTTTTATTTATTTTAAAAAAAATCATATTTAACATTTATTTTATTTTAGAAACAAAACAAAGTATAAACTCCCAAAGGGAGCGCTTACCAAGATTCAACCCTGGAACACTTAAGGGAAGGAGAAGCGCTAAACCATCTGAGTTAAGGCACACAATTAGGGATGGGCAGGGATCTAAACTCGACGAGTTTTGATCCGAACCGATCCGATTGGGTCGGGGTTTTAAAAAAAATAAAAGGTGATGTTCGGGTCGGGTCAGATTCGGGTTTAGGGAGAAAAATGCTCAACCCGACCCGACCCAAAATTTTTTTTCCTTATATATTTAGGAATAATTACAATAATACCCCTTTATATATAAAGTTTTTCAATTAAACGGATTGGGTCGGGTTCGGATTTTATCTCAAAAAGTTGATCGGGTTTAGGTCGGGTGGAGGATATATATTTTTCGGGTCAAATCAGGTCGGATGAAGATGTAAAATTTTCGAATCGGTTTGGCCGAAACTCAACCCATGCCCATCCTTACACGGAATTGGTTCTAAATGTCAAAGTATACATTTAACTTATACTAAACTATCACTATAAAAATAAAAGAAAAAATTATTAGATTTATGATTTTGAACTTAAGACATCTAGTAAAATATTCAAACATTTTACCACTAAATTAGGTCAAGAATTAATAAAATATAGGAAAATTATTATTTAACTTACGAAAAACTAAAATTAAAATTAAATAATTTCTCATTTAAAATATTATTTAGAAATAAGAAAATAATTAAATAACTATTTAAACTTATTATTTTTATTTATTTATTTAATCAATTAAGTAATTATATTAAATTTATATTCTATCCTTAAAATTATTTAAGTAATTTTAAATATAAATATTTATTTATTTTCGTGAATAATTATAATTAGAAGTTTATATTTAAATTTAATAATTAATACATATAAATAATTTTAAACTGTATTTTTTTTTTAATTGAAAGGAAACCAAGCAGCTAGCTTAGTCTTAGATCTGAGTTGGTCGGCTGTAGGAGAGGCCAATTTTGCAAGGGCATCTGCCAGTGTTGGCTGATCGTGGGATCCAACAAATGCTGGTGGTCCACTCTTGATTGCGCAAGGTAGCAATCGAGCGTATAAGGGCAATCGAACTCCTCCCCGCTTGTCTATCTTGCAATAAGTTGACTGCTTGCAGGCAATCGGATTGAATTTCCAAGCGACTTATGCCAAGTCTTCGAGCCAAAAGTAAACCTTCATAGATGCCCCAAAGTTCGGCTTGAAGAATCGATGCATAGCCAATATTTTTACTAAAATCATAAGTCCAGGAGCCATCCTCAGATCGAAGACCCCAAACCATCCGAAGATTTAACGCTGCCATCCGTGTTCGCCAACCACAAGGAGTAGGAGCCAGAGCAATCGTGTATATTGAGCCCAATGCTTGGCGCGGTGTAAAGCATTCGAAGTTGGCTGATCCATGCCCTTGAAAAGCCTATCATTTCGTTGCTTCCAGAGTTGCCAAACAATCGATGCGAATAAAGTGGACCAAGAAAGATCATCCCCGGGTACTACCAGTTTACTCATCAGAATAGCAATTGCCCAACACGAGAAGTCACCTTGAAAAAAAGTTGGAAGCAGCGAAGGGAGAATCACCTATTCCCAAAGACGGTGAGTGCGAGGACAGTCCAGCAAAACATGTGTAATTGTTTCCTGCACATTATCACAAAAATAACGAGGCATCATTCGAAAGACAAAAATCCATTGCTTAATGGACATGAAGTAAAAGAAACGAGGGTAATTATGATAGAGGGGTAGTCATCTTCTTAAAAATTTTAAATTTGACATACATTTTAGATTTATTTATATATTTTCTATTAAAAATCTACTTTAACCCCACAAATTTTTAGTTAGTCTCCCTTAAATTTAAGTTTGCCCCTATATAAAATTATCATTCAACAAATATTAAGTGTACGACTCGAATTGGTCTGAACTAATCAAAGTGAAACCTTTACAATCGAGAGAGGGGAAAATATATGAGTTTGTCATTTCCTTTTAATTGAATAATTAAATATGTTTATCTCAACTCGATATTTAAATTCTATCGAAAAATATATATTTTTTAACACAGTTTCTAATAAATCGAACACGTGGTGATTTTAAAATCACCGCGTGTTTGATTTATTTTGACTGTTTGACCTTTTCTTTTTTCAACGGAGGGTTTTCTATACCCAATTTTGCAAAGGGTAAACTACATCAACGGTAACAGAAATTTTAGTAAGATTTTTTTATTTGACATTTTAAAATTTATAAAATAATCATTAATATTTTCGATTTAAAATAAAATAATCACTAAACCGCGACTACCTTGTTATCAAAAAAAAAAAAAGTTTTGGTAAGTTGTTTTGAGTGAGTGACAGATAAGAAACTTAATCATAGATGGCTACCTTTTTTGGCTCCGCGTTTCTCGGAAAACCTAATGAGGATCCCATGGTCAACCCGTCGGGACTGTCGTCAGATGGAACAACTATTATCAGTCCAGGGACTGTGGAACAAGTAGAGACAAGCGCAGCAAAAGGGGCTTCTCCGAATGAAAAAGTAACATGTTCTTTTGAAAAGACAAATCAACGGATAGAGGTTAAGGAACCGAGTCTGGGGGTGGATAGTTTGGATGAAGAGATGAAATACGCTCTAGCTGATGGTGATGGTGATAAGGATAAAAGGGGGAAATTTTCATTCTGTGACATGGTGGTTGGCCAAGGTAAGGCGTCTAATGGCGGTAATTTTATCTCTGATTTGGACATGGAATTATTAGAAGGTGACGTATAGGTTGGTTTGGAAAACTATTCCTGACATTAGGTTTTCCGAGAGAGTCCACCAAGCTATCGATGAGAAACTCTCCAAATCGGTAGTGATGTGATTGTTGGGGAAATCGATTGGGTACAAAGCTTTGCTAAATCGGGTTCAGGTTCTTTGGCAACCGACTAGTGAGTTACAATTAATCTATTTGGATAATGAGTATTTCTTACGTTTTGCGGAGAATGATGACCATCATAGGGTTCTTGCGGTTGCGGGAGGGCCTTGTATGATATAGAATTTTTCAACATCTGAGAACCATCCAAAGTCGATTCTAGTATGGGTGCACATAGTCCCCGCGCCGCTACTATACGAAGAGTTTTTTTCGTGCAATTACGGGAGCGTTGGGTGCTATAGTGAGGATTGATTATAACACAATGGAAGAAAGGCGCGGTAGATTTGCCAGACTGACTATCGTGGTGGATTTGGGAAAACCTTTAGTTCCTGGTTTGATGATTGATGGTAAATACCAGGGGGTAGAGTATGAAAGTTTACTTACTATGGTTGTGGTATGTATGACCATACAACAACTGCATGTCCGAAGATGATACCTGCTACAAACAAACGAAAGGAAGAGAAGGAAGATAATCCTGAAGAGTCTTTTGGCCCTTGGATACAAGTAACGCCTAGGAAAAAGAGAGTATCCACGAGCAATAAAATAGAGAGTCAGACCTTGTAGTAATATTGGCTGTAAACCAGAATGGGGTACTCATTTTACGGCGTTAATGGCAGGTGGCGAGGAGATTCAGCAGAATGCCATGAGCAATAGTAACTAGTGTAAGGAGAAGGCAGTTGCAAAATATTGTCAGAGGTTAAAGGTGGCGACTAGACCTCCGAAGGATCATTCAAGCAACAAAAGTGATAGGCTATTTAACGTCAACTCAAACAAGAACAACATGCAGGATGGTAGGGAACAGAAAGGGAAACAAAAGGAATGCAATAAGGAGGTTATTGTGGACGGTTCAAAAGAAAATGTAATGCATGTCCATTATGAACTCAAATCCGGGGAACATGCAGCCATTCAATAGTGGATGATAATAGAGGGAGGCCCTAAGTGACATGATTGGAAGATTTACTGTTAAAGCAAGTCATGGATCGACTCCAAAGCCGGCGGTTAGAAGTTTGGCCCTCTTGAGGGGGTATATAAGAAGAATGCCAGGACAAGTAAGAAAGATGAACAAGGTCCACTTAAACCACTACTTGTGGACTGGGTGGAATCCTTAACCAATGACCTAAGTCAGGCGGAAGCTAGATGGGATTCGGGGGGCTTTGGTCTCAATGGTATGGTAACTTTAAGTGACCAATTGGTGCAGTGGCGAGAGAATAACACGTTTGAAGGTGAATCACAAGAACCTCAACAAGTTTGAGCTGGATTTGTTCTTTTCTACATCCTCATTAATGGTTAAAATTATTTTTTTGGAATTCTTAAGGCGCTTTTGGCCTTATTTTTTGTCAGTATTTTAAGTTGTTAGTGTTGACTCAGAAACCTGATATCTTTTCCATTTTTGAGACTCGTTAGTAGCGCTAAAGCGAAGGGGTTCATTCGTAAGTTGAGATATAACCATTTATTTAGGGTGAAGACGAATGGGTTCTCGGG